TGATAAAAGTAAATATACTGCGGGGAGATTTCTTCGTCGCCCAGTTTTAATATCACTGCCAGTGGGATTTCTTCGCCACGCAGATTAATTCATGCCGCTAATCTGAGATTTATTCATCAGACTTAAGATTTATGCATTTAAAATTGAAAGTGGGGATTTCTTCACCCAATAACAGATTAATTTATTCTGGTGCCATTTATATGGACTGCTAATCTGAGATTTCTTCGTTGGATAAGGTTTACGCTCTACTAACAACAGAAATTAGGATTTCTTCGCTAAAATCAGGTTAGTTTCTTATCGTACGATTTAAATGCATTATAGCACTGAAAACTTTCTACTGCTCGTAGGAAGGCACATTCAAGCTATAGTTTATCTGAGTTTATCAGAAGCTGGTATGCATGTGTAAGACGTTAATAAAAACCCATGAGACAAACACACAAGTCTGATACTGAGTCCGCTTGCAAATAATGTTTAAACGATCACCACCGTTCTCCACCAATTATGTAGCAAATTAGCTCAAAAGGAAAATGTATATAAATAATTATGATTAATTACAATTATTTACCTCAGCTGCCAGTAGTAACTGTAGCAGAATTAGTATTACAATCAACTAATCTGTTCAGTATAAATTCATATCAACTCTAGGAAAGGATATTTTCGTGGCCACAGAAAATAACTTTCTTACAGTAACACATTAGAGCATGTAGCTATAGATCGGATCGTAAAAGGGACACTATTCACAAGCAGGATCAGAAACTCATGTAATTTGTGCACAAGAGTTTTATTAACTAAACGCTAACACACATAACTAATCTAAACAAACCAATTCACTATTCAACGGGGAGCTAAAGTGGATGAGTGAAACTATTAGAGAAACCAGAGAATGAAGAATTAACCACCTGAGTGAAACCATCAGCGCCGTTTTAGAACAGGGTCTACAGCTTATACTAAACCTCTGTTTCGTTTAGTTAAATGTACGATACTTGCATTGCCTTGGCCTGGAACGAGCGACCGGATGCAGTCTCATATGAAAGTCTTGATGGATTGGAGGTTCGGTGGTGTAGGAGTCGCGATCACCTTCTTCCAGGTTTGAAGAGTGATGAACTCCACAGATGTTCTGGCTCGATGGTGACATCAGCTGAGATCCTAGGATCGTTGGTGAATGTGTATGATGTGAGAGCTTTATCTCCTATTGAGCTCACACCTCTCGGGGGTCACAGAGCCAATGGTGACTTGCACATCTGGAGGGAAAGTTTACGAATCTTTGTCTCTAGCATGGTGTTTTGCATATGAAACTCAATTGGGTGTTCAAGAGAAGAATTTTCAAGATTCTTATAATACTAATGTGTTGCATAGGTATCAACATATAATATACACTATAGATCATGAAAATACGAACTCATAGATACCAAACATGGTATAGGTGAGGTTATATTAACTAGTGATCTATCATAAGCATGCATAAAACATATACAATACACAAAACCATATACAAGAAGGTAGTAATCATACACACTGACCTGGGGATATGCAAGATAGAAATATTTGTCTATGAATTAATGTAAGAAGTCATTTCCTATAGCAGTATGTGTCTGTTTGAGAGAATTAAGTAGGAGGAAGATTCTCTCTACATACTTTTAGGTTGTAAAGTTTATCTGATCTGGCTGAGGTGTCCCAGTTGCCATGGTAACCAGGGGCCTGGACGTCATTCACAGACATATGTGAGCCTGGAGCACAAAAGCAGTGTTAAGTCGCTGGGGTATATTTGTAGCAATAGCCAACAATACATTGTATAAGTCCAAATTATAAATTTTTCTTTTATGCCAAAAATCATTAGGATATTAAGTAAAGATCATGTTCCATGAACATATTTTGTAAATGTCCTACTGTATATATATCAAAACTTAATTTGTGATTAGTAATATGCATTGCTAAGAACTTCATTTGGACAACTTTAAAGATGATTTTCTCAATATTTAGATTTTTTTGCACCCTCAGATTCCAGATTTTCAAATAGCTGTATCTCAGCCAAATATTGTCCTATCCTAACAAACCATACATCAATGGAAAGCTGATTTATTCAGCTTTCAGATGATGTATAAATCTCAATTTCAACGAATTGACCCTAATGGCTGGTTTTGTGCTCCAGGGTTACATATAGGCACCGAGTCTGGTGTTGGGTGAGGGGTTTGTGATTGCTTGTTAAATCTAATGAACAATTGTGTGTCTGCTTGGTCCAAATGCTACAGTGTGTGTGTGTGTTTGTTTGTCTTGTCAGGCGGTGTGTGTCGTGTCTGAGGGGCTGGAGTCATTCGGCAGTCAGGGCTACATTGAGGACACGGTGTGAGAGAGAGTCTGTGTGTGTGTGTGTGAGTGTGTATGTGTGTGTGTGTGTGTTTTTTTTAAATTAAATTAAATGTATCCCAATCTTATTAAAACATTTTTAATGACACACATACTGAAGGTTTGATCCAGATCAAAACCAAGACTGGATTACGTGATCTAAAATGATTCCAGAATACTTTTTTCTTTTCAAGATTTGATCAAATCTCTTCTGAACGCTTCAGTTTTCTGTAATTACAGAATGATGCAGAAACCAGTGCAGAACTATGAAGTCTCTGACATGAGTGTGTGTTTCTGTCTGCAGGTGTTGAGTATATGGGAGGGAACCACTGATGTTCTCCGCTCCATCGCTAAGGCCTCTGGGTCAGTTTTGCAGGCCTACTTCACCGACGTCAACGTGAGAACAAACTCACGCTAACGCTTCATGTTTAACTCAGAAATTATTGTAACTGTTTTTGTATTGATTGTAATGTGATCTG